GGTCTTAAAGGGTTAAAAAGGCTTTGCATTCTCTCTACTGGCCAGCAGGGGGCAACTCCTGTGGCTGTAAAAGGATTCAGCTTGTATACAAGTCTATGGGACCCCAGACCTCAGTTTCCTGAAGCGTTCATGGTGTTTGTGCCTCGTTTGAAGTCTAATATACCAGAGTTTTTGTTTTTGACCCCATGTGGAGTAAAATAATTGATATGGTCGGGTAGTTTGTATTTTGGATGCAGCCAATCTTGCAGCTTTTGTGTGCAACCAAATGGACTTAAAGACACACAGTTCAGCAGATTTGATGCCGTTAATAATTATTGAGTGTCAGAACGTGAAGAGAGACCCGGACACTAATAATCTGTCTCTGTTCCCCGTCTCTGGTCCTGAAGCTCTGTGTCAGGTGATCGGCATGTACGACTACGTGGCGCAGAACGACGACGAGCTGGCCTTCCAGAAGGGTCAGGTGATCACAGTGCTCAACAAAGACGACTGTGATTGGTGGAAAGGAGAGCTCAATGGGAGGGAGGGTCTGTTTCCTAGCAACTACGTCAAACTCACCACAGATACTGACCCGAGCACGCAGTGTGAGTACCACAAACACGCACACACACTTCCTGCGTGGAACATATACAGACGTACTAACCGACTCCCAATGTGAATACAAAGTAGTGTAACACACTAAAACGAACTCTCCCACACACACTCTCTACACACACACACAGCCCAGAGCCAGGTGTGGAGATGCTGTCCCTCTGTCTTTGATTGACCTCCCCGGGCTGATTTGACCTCTCACCTTTCACCTTGACACTCCTTTGGGCCTCTTTGATAACCTCCCAGTCATACACCACCTCTGGGTGGTGTGTGTGTGTTCGTATGTGCATGCGTGCGTGCGTGTGTGTGTGTATTTGCATGTATTAGTGTGCAAGTGTCCCCTCTTCCCTGCATGTGTCCCTTCAGCATGATCCACCATAGACTCAGAGTTTCTAGAGCGGAGCAGAGAGATGTTGGCAGTAAACAGGAACAGACTGTGTCTGTGTACAGGCAGGGTTCTCAAAGTGAGGCTCGTGGACTAGTGGTGGACCGAAGTTTAGGTCAAGCCACATAGATAAAAAACGAAACAAAAACCAAGGCAGCATTTCTCCTTAATTTTGATCCTTGATCGAGCCAACTGAGCAGACTGAACCTGTTGAACTTGAGCAGAGCTGATGTAAAGTAACGAAAAGTCACTTTGGTAATGGTAAAAAACCCCAAAACAATATAAAAACCATCAAATACTCATCAAATTTTAGCCCCGCCCTATCCCAGTATTCACAATGGTGCCAGGGATCGATGATGGTCAAAGTGACCCGCGTTACGTCAACAATTAAAGTGATTTTTATCTGTTTTCCATTAAGTTTTTATTATTATGAGATTCATAACAGTCTGTTTCACTTTCATCGTCTACAAACAGCCAACACCTGTATCATATACCTGTGCACACGTCTGTTGCACATATCAAATGACAACAAGAGCAGGAGAAGAATATTTCTTACTGTGGGATTGATTTTTAAAATCTGAGTTTAATGTAAATCTTGTTCCCAGCCACCCACCCCGGGTGTTTCTTTTAGGGGAAAAACAAATCTGTGTGTGGGGAGGGTGAGATATTTAAGCTAGAGAAAGAAACTTAAAGAGCCTTCACTAATGAAGGTCGGCTAAATCGGGTTTTTTGTGCTTGTTTGGGCCTCAACTTATATATTACAGAGGGTGAGAGGCTGCTCGGCCACCTACAGTGAAGCCACACGGGGCAACGAAACGACTGCACTTTTTGGATGAGCTGCATACATCTATATATTAACTAGAAGTTAATAATAACAAGTTTATAAAATCGTGTTTTCCTGAGTATTTGGATCAGTTACAGCTTCGAACCGTAACACAACCTCAGTACTCAAAATTCAGAATTTCATGTTTAGAAATCCAAAATTAAATTTATTGTGGCTTCAAATGAAAACAGTAAAAACCGTCACCGATTCCTGTGGTCGGTGTTGAAGAGCGAAAATAAAATAATTTCATTTTTTCAACTCTGATCTTTGTAAATGTGAATTTTTTAGAGAAAAGGTTGATCAGTTAAGCTGCTGGTTACTGTTTACTGCACATGTAAGTGTGACAGGTCCACATATAACACAAACTAAGAGTCTGTGTCCAGTTTTTAATAGAAATCTATGAATTTTCTGTTTCTTTCTTCTATTTGAAAATAAATGTTACACAACGTTACAACGTTACACAAACCAAACGATCTCCTGCCGACTCGCTGCCCGCTGTAGCTCCTCTGTTTCTATGCTGGGTTAGACCACGCCTCCACACTCTCCGCCTTGCTGCACGCTCCACCCACCTAGCGGCCCGACTGGTTGTTGTTGCTGTTGTTCTTGTTGTTGTTTTGTTTAGTTGTTTTTGTTGATGTTTGTTGTTGTCGTCCTCTCTCTAGGATCATATCATTACCCAGAACCCCCCTCTCCTCAAAGCCCTCAAAGAGACCCACTAGGCCACGCCCACTAGGCCACTCAACCAATGGGACAGCAGCAAGAGGTCACATGACCCGGAAATGGCGACTCTCCACCAGTAGAAGCCAGAGAGAGAGAGAGAGACAGACAGACAGACAAACAGACTGTAACGTTAAAGCGCCCTCTGCTGGCGAGATCTCTGACTGGACTTGGCCAAACTCTGTTTATCTGAGGCTCTGGCTGCACACAGCACTGTTCAGCAGGAGGGAGATCAGTAGTCAGGACTCCTTTCCTCCTCTTAAACTCTTCTTCCTCTTCTTCTTCTTCTTCTCTTCCTGTTTTATCTGTTCCGAGATGCTTAGATAAGGAGGGAAGGGAGAAAGGAGGAGACTATTGATCTCCTTTTATCCAAGACTGGACTGATGAACATGTTTTTGACTGGATCACAGTGACTGTAAACACACACACACACACACACACCGTGCTAGCGTGGTAAAGTGGATAGTGGGTCGTTTTGTGGCTTTATGGGAGACTCTCTCATTAGAATCAGTCGCTCAGCTCATCCTCCCTCCTCATTCCTCTTTCTAAATTATTTTTTAACCTCGCTCCCATTGGTTCCAAAGCCTGTCAGTCAGAAACGCTGTCTCCACCTCCCTCACTAACCCCTCCCCCTCCCACAGCTTCACAGAAAGACCCACTATCTGCTGGAGGACAAGTCTCAATGTCAGAGTCTTTAACTCTTCTCTCCTCAACGCCAAAGACGCCTTCCAGCTTCCTGTTTCCTCGTCTCCTTCCTTCCCTTCCCCTGCTCTAAAGGAGACGGGAGAGGAGAGGAAGCGAGGCAGTATTGAGATGCGTCCCAGCAGCATTTACAGGCCAAGTTTCGATCCTCGCTGCTGCTTCCTTCTGCTAGTTTGCCCTCCTTTCACCTTGTGTAGG